CATAGAATTAGAGCTGCTTTCATCACCAATACCATCTTCCTCTAGCCAGGCTCACAACCGTTTGGGATACTACTAGTTTTCCATATAAATGCAAGTACAGCTGTTAATGTCCTGTTTACAATTCTGAAATCCTAAAAGTTCTGCAAATCAAAGACTGATATGATATCAAGCTACTTATATAGTGTTTATTTATGTTTTATTGGGAAATATTAATATGTTTGCTGGCAAGATGCTATCCCCAAGCTGCTCTGGAGAATTACATCCTAGATGGTTTAGGCATATATTACCTTTGTAAACCCCTCCCCAGTGATTAATTTCTGGGGAACTAATCACCTATATCTCAAAAGTTTTGGATGAGTGATTATGGACCTCAAAAGTTATGTGTATAAGGCATAATCCTTTTATGTTCACATAAAAGATCATACTTTCTGGCAAGTACATTTTATGTAGTAGTTTGACATTTTCACTTAAGACTTTAATGTGGCCTACATTATCTGGCCTCTGGTTGCTTTTGACCTTGTTTGTGTCCATGACTTTTCCTCTCATTCACTCATCTCCAGTCAAATGTGCCTCATTGTTATTCTACCATGTGACAGTTATTCCTGTCTTTAGGTCTTTGCATGTATTGTTCCTTCTGTCTGGAACATTCTTTCACAGATTTCCTCATGCCTGGCCTGTCAACGTCACTGAGATCTTTGTTCATATTACATCTTACAGGGTTATTCATGACTACCTTCTCCAAAAAAGACTCCTCATTTTCTCCTTCTCTCTGCTTTTTTCCCCCCACATAGCATTTATCAATATCTATGATATAGTATATGCCTGTATATAAGTGTTTGGCCTGTTTTTCTTTCTACTAGAAGTATTATGGGGATAGGGTTTTTGCTTTTTTACTTATTTATTGCTACATCACTAATATCTGGAGTAATTCTTGACATACTATGGGTATAAATATATATTGCCTGGATGCATTTTTCCCTTTGCTTCATAGTTAAGGAATTCACCCTGAAGTTCCAGGTTTCTCAATTGCTTTATAGTAAGCCAAGAAGTAAACCTATGAAACTCTTATGAGCTGCTCATTGGAACATTCCCTCTTTCTCCACTGCCACTCTAGGTTGTGGCATGATAGAGCTACACTGTCTGAACTCTGGAACTTGCCATGTGCTTGGGTCTAGTACATTTCCTTCCTCCTCTGATGTAGGTAGCAGAATTGACTTTCTGGCATAAACTTTCATGGTTTCACTTTGATTTGTTCACCTGTTTACCTTTATGGTATCCATTACAGTATAATACCAGGGGCTGCATCCTATTTATTGATGAATCCCAGCTCCTTGGTTAGTATCTAACTCAGAGTACCCTCAAAACATGAACTGAGTCAAAGTTGAACCCTATCCTGTAGTAAGTCTTACTAAGAAATATACTTTTTAATTTTTTAAGTAATGCTTGAATGGGCTTTATTCTCCAGAATGATGAAATATCCTTAAAACTGAAGTGAGACTAGGGCAATGTGTTTAGAGGCATAATTTCTTGAGAGTGATGAAAAACCATAGCTTGAGATCACAGCTTGGGCACTGAGCTTAATTTTATGTACCTTATATTATAGGTAACGGGAAGATGATTGCAAAAGATGGCAGTAAGAAGGATTAACTGTGATTATTTATGAGGCATAGTTAAAAGGAGACAGCATGCATATGTTCACTTACTATCGGGAACAGACCAATCTCTAAATATATGATGCACAAACCCACCTAAGGAATACATTTAACACAAAACAATAAAGTGATAAAATGAGCAAATAAAAAAGATAGGGAGAAATATAGAAATATCCAGCATATTGTGTGATAACTTTTACTAGTAACCAGAATTCTCTAATAGCAGCCAAATAGCTGAATGATTATAGCTTGAGAAATTTCTGAAGGACCTGGGAATCTTTGGGCACAGGTGAGTTTCCCAATTTTCAAGCTTTTTCACAAAAGAAATGAATTACTATTTTTCATTCTAGTACAATGTTCTCACATTAGACATCTTTTTTTCCAAATTAAATAATTATCCCCCAAGAGTCTTCTTTGAAAGTCTAATCCAAAAACCTATAATAGTTGAAGTGAATTATGCACAAGGTTGGACTTTTTGACCTCAAAAACCGGTCTGTTAGCTTCTCAAAATTTTCAGACCCTGTAATTCTTCAAAATGGTGAAATGGATAATATACAATGTCTTTAGCAATAGTTTTAAAAATTCCTTTTCCTCTTTCTTGATCTCATTCCTCCTCTGACAAACCCAAATTCCCCTGAAGTCTTTCCTTCATCCCCATATTCTCCAGTATAAAGAGGGATATTGTTGTTGTAGTTTTTATTTCATTTATGTGTCCCAGTGAGGATCTAGGGTGCATTATTTTAATTCTTCATATGATAAGCTATAAAAGATAAAATGCTACTTGGTTTCTTTCATATATTTACTTATTTTTCCAATTACTCTTATTCTTCTAGTCCTGATGGTATGAGCTTGTGGTAAAGAAAAGCCACAGGTGGCAGATAGCATTGATGTCCTAACAGTATCCCTTTACTATTTCAGTGACCAAAAGTACCAGGTATTTAGCAATCCCTGAAAGCAGTTGCCAAATTATTGGTGATAATAATGCAGTCTATTACCCTTTGGGGGGGATCAGCTCACGCTAAGGGATGTGTTACATACTGTTGCTAGAGGAGGTTTAACTTCCAGTCACTCCTGTTAATAATATACTTAACAATGCATCTTTTTGTCTTCTCTTCCCTATTTTTTTCATACTCTTTCACTGGTATTTCCTGCAATTAACAAGTTACTTGACTACCTCTCTCTGGCTACGTTTCTGGGAGAACTGAAACTAAAATACCATCCCCAAATGATTATTAATCATTGAGTTATAGATCAAATAGGTATCTCACCACTGACTGTCTTGGTGCCTGTATGCCTTGCATCCAAGACAAGTGATATATCCTAATGCTGTTTGTAAATATATTTATTGCTAAAGGTCAGGGTTGATCTTCAGCTCAGCAGACAACATCATTCACATGTGTAATGATATCTATGTGCTCAATTGCGCTGGCCAACAATGGTTGATACCATTAATAAGATTAGGTACCATTGTTTAGATCCCACTATACCCATGACATTTGCCATTTGATTGCTAAATAGAAGAAGTAATGACTATAGACTAATCCTTTTCAGGAAGAGAGTCTAGTCTTTGAGACTTTCTGTTTTATATGGTTCAGTGATTTCTTATGTTTTCAGTCTGTCTGCCAACACGTGTTGAAATCTCTCACACCAATCAGCTTAAGGAAAGCTGGGACTGCTGAGCTGAGTATGTACTCATGAAAGCTTTAAAGAACTTTATTATTGAAAACAACCCCAAATTGATAGAAGATTAGGCTAGGAAGCCTGACAGAGGTTTTAATCACTATGTACACAGTCTATAAAAATATTGATCATGTTCCTACTGTTTTATATGTAATTATTTTCAATTCCACATAGTTATTTATAATTTTCTAATATTTTATGTGGTCATGGTGTCTGTGTGATGGCCTGTAAACTGTCCATAATCTACTTTGACTTTCCAAGACAGTCAAGCTTCCAAGGACATTAGTATTTCACACCAGACCATTTTGTAGGACAACTTGCTATTCTCCATGGGGTTCAAACATCAGAAAGGATGAGAGATCTAAGACTTGATATAATCACCTGCATATAATGAAACAGATCAAAGAAAAATGAGAGAGAGAGAGAGAGAAAGGAAAGATGCCAGAGAAAGTAGAGGGTATAGCTTAGTATTTCTCCAAGTGTAATTGTAGTTTGTTTACTCCCCAAATAACTAGCAAATATCTCTTGTTCTTTAACCCTATGATTAGGCAGGAAGAGAGAATAGGAAGCAACTTGAAAAAGAGAGCTCTACATAATACATAGCATTGATAGTGTAATAGGGTAGTGTAATTGAAAGACTAGGATTCTCTTTTTTTTTATGAGCTGTATGACCTTGTGAAAATTATTTAGTAATTTTTCAACTTAAAACTGCATTTATAGCAAAGTTAAATTTACCTCTGATGTACAAGCAGACCAGGAGTATCTTGCAGTTTAGGGAGTGGATCTTATTCAATTTCTCCAGCACCCACCTAGGAAGTGGTACAGGTGACAATGACTTTGAATTCAAAAAGGGTCCCATGATGGTCAGAAAAGGATTTAATCTGCTCAGAAGAAAGGGAGAAAATGAAAAAGCTGCAAGATTTCATTCAGTTTTATATATGTATATACATATATACATATATATACACACGCGTGCACACACACATATAATTACGTGCCTACTGTATACATACTGTGTAGAATATTAATTTATGTAATATCCAGTGTATATTATATACACATTATATTTATTTCTAGGTACCAGAAATAACTACAACGACCAGAACAAAAAACTCCATCTGCTTAGATCTTTCATTCTAGTCGGCAAGGTGTAGGGGAGTTTGTGGTGCAATTTTAGTTAGGATGCTAGGGAAGACCGTACAGTCATAAACTGGATTAGTTCAGGATCTGTAGACCTCATGTTCTAAGAGAAACGCAGAGGAATGCTTAAGTGTCAAGAAAGATCCAGTAAGTGAAGTGAAAAGAAATCCAGTCAGCTAGGATTAATGAAGAGGTTAAGTGTGTTTGCGAAGAAAGAAGGAAGCACAAATGCAGTGTAGCCTACAGAATCATGCTCCTTTTTCCCTGCAAGGAAAAAAACAAAGTCCGTGACATTTATGACAAAATTCCTTTCTAAAGGTACCCTTGCCTTTGCTTGTCTCCTGTGACGACAGGGTTTCCCGCCTCCGAAAGGGGTTAAGTCACAATGGATCCTGATTGGCCCAGTATAGGTGCATGCTTTACGCCTATTGGCTCTAGCACTGGTCCATTTTTGAGTCCTGCCCCTTCCCCCCGTGGGGCCGTATGGGAATTGTAGTTGCCGCTTAGCTAGGTCTTGTCTCGGGACTTTTGCCCTCCTTTCCGTTCCCTCAGGCAGCCACCCACTGGGCGCAAGCCTTGGCGCTTCTCCTGCCCCGCGCTCCCTCCCTCTGCCTTTCACTTTCCAGCTGCCAAGATCTTGGAAGGTAGGGGCGGGGGTGTCAAGCCCAAGTCGAACAGTTTTTCTGGGACGCGGGTTTGGGTTTCCACAAGTGTCTGGTCAGCACCGTGGCTGTCCATTGGGGCGGGAACGGGGCCAGCCCAGCTTGTCTGGAGGTGGGGTTTTCCAGGAGGACCCTCCTACCCCCGAGACATTTCAGGGTTCTTCCTCGAGCATCTACCGTAACCTGCCCCCAACATTTCAGTTTATAAGTGGGTAAACTGAGGCATGAGGTAAATAAAGCCTGTTTTCAGGGACTCCCTAGCTCCCGGCCCTGGTGAGAGCTAGTAAACTGGCACTGGTTGGCATTGAATGGTTTGTCGTTTCCATAAGGAAGTAGCAGAAACCTCTGCTCGAACAGGCTTGTATTAAACATCCAGCTCTGGGTTTCCCCTAAAAGGGGTTGGACACGTGCGTTGACTGGAAGCAAAGTAGGACTCTGGAAAGGCAGAATTTGGGGAAGAATTTTACATTTAGCATTTTAAAAACACACAAAACCATTGAATTCTCTATGATGGGAGAATTTATCAGCAGTCTGGGAATTACATCAATTTTATGGCTTAATATTGCTTCGTACAAAAATGAGGTGTTTTAAAAGGATATACCCACGTGGAGGGTCGGGGGGAGAGGGGAGGAAAGAGGCAAGTTAATGGAACTACAGCAGAATTTGGGGCTTCCTCTCTAAGATAAAAATTTTATGACTGCCTTGTGACTGTGGACGCACAGTGCTTAGCTGAGAAAAACCGAGCTTAAGCCGACTGAAATGAGATAATGCTTGTGAAAGTGACACTTGCAAACTCTCTGCTGTTAATACAACTGTGATCATTATTATTCTTTAAGAAACGTACTGCACACCAGCAGAACATACGCCCACTGGCTGTTTTAGAAAGGTTCTGACAAGTACTGGGTCCGGGAATATCAGGAGCAAGCGGCCCCTCCACACCAGTTAAACCGCGTTCACCAAGATCTTGTTTCAGACAGCACTTCACTACCAGCGGCCTGAGCAGCAGAGGGTTCTGGGAGTTGCAGTCCAGCTTCCCGTTTCCTACTACTCCGCCTCCTAGTCTGTCAGTGGGCAACACGAGCTGTTTCTTGGGAGATGATGTCTCTCCTTCCAGTTCATCTACCGAAGGGCCCCTTTCCTCGGAACTACAGTTTCCATGTGGCTTTGCGTTCTTCGCTGCCTGCTTCTGTTTGCACATACCGAGAGTTGCGATGATAGAGATGTTTAGTAAAAATGCCTTTGCTGTTATCGTCGATGATTTTATGTGTTGTGCTTGGCGTTAGAGAGGGGGTTATTTGTGTATGCTGGAAAACATCAGATCGTATTAGAAATGTGCATAGCTAACACTTGACAGTTTGCAGAGCATGTGCACATTATCTGCTTTAGTAATTGCTATCTCCCTTGTGGATGAGGAAAGAACTTGAGGTGATTTGTCCAGTCACACATCTGGTAATAAAATTTGATATATATTTTAATAAGTAAATATATATCACAGTTAGTTGTTTTCTTTTAACTCAGTGTTCACAAATGCTTTTTGAGAAAGAAGCATAAACATGTAAAGTTTCCATATACATGTTAACTTACCTGGTGAATAGCAGTGCTGGGATTGTAACCCAGTCCTGTTGACAGTCTGTTTAGAAAATGACTACCTCAGAGAGCTAGAGGACCCACAAACTTTTTGTTGCTTCTTAACATTAACGTTGCAAAAGCCACAAACTTTTTGTTGCTTCTTAACATTAACGTTGCAAAAGCCTAACATTAACGATGCAAATCTAAGGAAAGGTTTGGAACAGTTCCTGGCATATAGCCAAGTTTTCAGAGCTGATTCCTATAGATAGATTTATAACACCTTTATTTTAGAGATGAAGAAACTGGCCCATATGGTAAAGGTATTTATTTGCCCAAGTCTTGCAGTTGGTTTGTATCAGAGATGAGACTAGACCCAAGACCATATTTCCAAGTCCATGATATTTTTCCTTCTCTCAGTAGTCAGCACACACAAGCACCACAAGAGAAGCTGTTTAGAAATGATTTCTTCTACTTTTCTTTTTTTAAAGCTTTATTTATTTATTTATGCATATAGAACTGGGATACAGGCCAGACATGCAGGGGCAGTGAGAGGATTCACAAGAGACAGAGTGGGGAGCAGAACAGGCCAACTAAGTACACTGCTGAGGGGAGCAGCAAGCTGCTCAGGAGAGGTCCTGCTGGGCCATGTGGATCACTTCCTGGGCAGGGATCAAATTCATGCTTCTTAGTGCTGTGCTTTAACCCTCCGTCCCACGAGGGAGGGCCTGATTTCTACTTTTAAGGCCACAAACCAGGATGAATGCTGTATAAGGTCTGTTGTTAATGTTGTAATGGTTTGTTAATCAAGTAAAGGTTTTACTAGCATCTTTGTATGCTCATCTCTGTTTAGGTGCAGGAGCCATGTGAATGAAAAGTAACTAATTTAGCACTGGAAGGAGCTACTGAATCTAATCTAATGCTTTCATTTAATAAATGAGGTCTCATAATGCTGTCTATGACCTTTTAGGCTCATGAATATTTTTGGTTTTTGTGTGTGTGTGTGTTTGTCCTTCTATTCTTACTCCTGTGACTGTTTGGCGGGGTGCTTTAGGATATGTTTCTGTGGTCACATCCTTTATATATATATATACGACTTTCAGTGTCTTCTATTTTTAGGAAATACTGTTATTTTAGTTCCCCATGTTCCCTCTCTTTTGTTCTTTTCAGACACATTCACATACATTAACATACAGCCTTCTAGAATGGAGTATCAGAAATGATCATGTTATTTGAATTATAGGAAACTTTTGTTTGAGAAGACTTATTGCCCTTTCAATTATGTATTCACTGAAAATAAATCAGGTAACTCATCACTTGCATGTGAAAAATTATTTTTTACATAATTAGATAATAAAGTAATGGTTTTGTGAATTACTGTTTAAACATTCCTAAGGGAATCATTATAGCACATATTCTTATCACTCCAGGCCCCCACTAGTACTCTCCTAATTGAAGGCTGATCATTCAGCTTCTAGCTTAGGGCCTGACCACTATAGACACTGAAAAAAGTAATTGTGGAATTGCATTTACAAGCACTCCTGAGTTCTGTTCCTGCATCTTTTTCTTGAGTTTCAGTTTTCTCTTTTAATATAGAAATGTAGCTTTGAAATATAAGGTGTACCAGATTACTTTCCTTTCGATGTCTACATAGCAGAGCCTTTGAAGTGATCCTCCATGGGCTGTTTCTTTGGGAATGTCTGTGTCTGTGATTTCTCAGATGAAAAAGTAATACAGATAACAAAATAGTAGTAAAATGAGGTATGTGGTAATCTAAAGGTCTACAATTTAAATCTCATACTCGCCCACTGGGCAGGTTACTTAGTCCTTGGTTCCATTTTTTTAAAAAAAAAATAGGATGATAAGCATTTCTCCCTCATAAAGTGTTTGATAAAGATTTACTAAGGTAGTATATTTATATCTTTGAGCATGCCACCAGGCACTCAGTAGCTTGTATTCAATAGATGAATATAGTTCTTATTTTTATTATTAGTGTAAACTTGATGTAGGTATCATCTATTTTTATCTTTCTCCACTGCTTGTATGGAAGACCTACATTACTACCTGTTTGCACTAACTGAAACAAATATGAAGAGGCTTTTCACTTGAATCTTAAAGATGAAAAGCAAAAATAGCATTCAGCATTTATTTTGTAACAGCTGTTATCAAGGGAGCTTGATCCCTGAGAGTGAGAGCGGCCCTGCCGAACTCCTTCCATGGGTGCTACATGGTGTAGGCTATTACTGCTTTTGCTATTTGTTAGTGCTGTTTTAGGATTTATGTGGTATTTGTTTTGGTATGACTTGGTAGATTTAGGGCAGGAAGACTGAACATACTAAAAAAAAGAAGTGAAAAGTGCTTTTTCAGTTTTAGGCAATTTGGTAGACCAAATGTTTCCTAGGAATGCCCTACTTTTGGATTGTGGGGGAAAACTAGTGTATGAAAATATATCATCTTTACTCAGCATTTAAACTCAAAGCAGATACATTTTTTAATAAAGGGATTTGGCATTTCTTTTTCTTCGAGCAGCAAGCTTTGCCTTCACATTTAAAATATGACGTTACCGACGACTTGTGATAACCCATCTTGTTAGCAGTGACATTCTCTAGTGTGGGCAGAGAGATAGTGAAGCTCTTGGCTCTGCACCGTCTGCTGAGAAGTCCCTGATCTATGTTTCTACTGATATATTAATTCTTGGGTGGAAAAATAGCCTGCTTCTGTCAGTGGGGCATTTGTCCACTTCTAGAAAGGATAGGGTCTATTCTAGGAGTCTCAGGGTTATAAAGTGAAGCAATTGTCATCCAACTAGTGAGTAATTCCAGAACAATGGTCATGTGGACTTGCAGTGTGTCTTTTAAAGATGACAACTTCAATGGTCGTGAGGTTACTGATAATGAGGTTAGTTATGGAAAAGGGATGATGCATGGTGAGGGAAGAAGGAAACAGGAATGTGGATCACAGAAAGAACAAAGAGCAGTGGGTAAAAGCGATAGCTGATGTCTTCACTCTCCCAAATGTCAATCCATTTATGTTGATCTTAGATCTATGCCAGGCTCTTACTGCATTAGTATGTGCTAGAAATACAGCTGTGAATGTGACTTATCTCAAGGTGGTCTTCGTGGTTGTTAAGTTGGGGAAGAACTTAAAGGAATAAAGGGAGGATGAGAGAAGGGAGAGAGTTTTGGGGATTGATAAGCAGAAAGAAGATCTCTGTGCCTGGGGTTTAAAAATTAATGGACTGGGGACTTAGAAGAGGAGTTAGAGGCTGGCATCAGAGATATTATAAAGTCTAATTTTATATATTATAAAAGAATTTTGGACTTTGTTCCAAATGCATTTATGAAAAGTGTTTAACAGTTTTCAGTGAGGGAAATGAAATTATTGAATTTGCTTTTTTAAAAGTATGACTGCCACAT